TACATCTAGTGCCACTGGGGGGAGGGGGGCACTTACAACGGGGTTCGATTCTCTGCGGTGAACACAGCCGATAGCCCATTGTGGTTTTGCTCTAAGACAAACAATCAGTTATATATATACATTTATATATATACATACATATATACGAGAATACCAGTAATCCAGTGTAGTTTGTGGTTCAGTCATTATATTTACGTTGTTCCCTTCTTAAGAAGCCATAATTCGAGCGCTGCGTGAGGGCCCAGCTGTTGTAACTGTTAGTGGTCAAAAGGTATAAATAATACCAGTAATTAAAGTTTCTTTAGACAGGAACTGATTGTTACAAGTCGATATACAAATTATGGTGTGCAATATTCAGTGGAAAATTGGAAGGTTTGACCAAGAAACGCAAAAATACTCAAGTAACTTAATCACTAGGCAGATATTTTCATTTCTCACTTATTAATAGGCTGATGATTAGCGCGCCAAGACTGGATCCGTTGCCGTACAATCGCACTCTGCAATTTATTCTTTGGGTGTGTTATAAGAGTAACAGTTAACTCCCACTATTCGGTTAGAGTAGCCCAAGAGTTGACGGTGGGTGCTGTTGATTAGTTGCCTTCCCTCTAGTCTATCAGTTCAAACTTAGAGGGATGTAGTGCAGATAACCCTTGTGTAATATTACACGAAGTTCCGAAACAAATAGAAAGTATACACTTACATACAGAGAAGTATGTGTAAAGCCTACTTACGTGTGCACCCGTTCGTTAATTAATCTGCACATCTTAACCATGTATTCTTCTTTAAACCTTATGTTGAACTAAGAAAGAGAGTGTTAAGCCTAACCTCCATCATCAACCAGCTAAAATACATTCTCTAAACACGTGTTTGCATCTGTTCTAGTGATGTATATATGTTTCTTAATGAAGATTCTTCTTCTTTAGCACTAGTCCTGAGCCCAAGAGAGAGAGTCGTCTGACCACCATCATTGACCAGTTGCTAAGCAACAAGACTAAGGATAAGCACCTAACTGAAGTCTATAACAAAAGAAGTTGTAAAGGCAGAGAAAATTTATATGAAAATCAACCTCACAGTCCAGCGTCTCAAGATAATGGTAATATTCTTCTCGTTGTGTTTTGAAAATGTATTTTGTATAGATGTAAAAACTAAAAAACTCATGTTTTGCATAATTTAATAGCACAAAAAGCATTGGATTGTTTTCTATGTTAAACAATTTGTTATTGAACATCTCCAAATTATGTATTTCCGAAAATATAAGGATTCTTGGAAATTAATTCAAACTGAAAATTAAAAAAAAAATTATTTTTTGTATGTTTTATAATTGAATAACTGTCTAAAGCTGTATAAAAATAGAGATATCGATGAGACTCGAGTTTATGAACTGCTGTATGGTAGACATGCGCATTAATCAACCAATCCACGACGTGGTTATGTTGGGATTTAGGCTTGAATTTAATATGTGGAGGATTTTTTTTTTATTCTGTAAGTTGATAATTACAATATTTTGTTTGTATTCATTAAAACTGAAATGATATGATTATTACTTATTAATCTATATAAATATAATAGTACTGTCTGTTGTATGTTCATGTAACTACTTCTGAAATGATATGATTATTACTTATTAATCTATATAAATATAATAGTACTGTCTGTTGTATGTTCATGTAACTACTTCTGA